CAGGTGTTGTAAATGAAATTGACATTTTGAGTTTGACGAACAATGTGGTTGATTGATCTGCAAATAGAAATACTTATAAAACTTGTAAATATATGTATTCAACTATAACAGTAAAGATGGAATATAAAATACTAATACGGTTATAGTTAATGGTTTTTTGAAGAGATGCTGTAATGATATACTTGGAACGTTGATATTGTTTTTATTTTCTTCGATCTTTTATTTTCCAAAATATTTTTCTTTGTCTTCTTTTCTCTTTGGCCTGCATGTGGTACATGTTACTGTTTGTTTCTGCATAAGAAGACATAGGTTAGGAAATGAAATGTGAAATTATGTACATAATATGTTTATATAATACAATTGAAGTTAGTTAGAATTAAATAAATAATGATAATAAAGTAAATGTATTTAAAAAGTTACCTTTATTAATTTGTTTATTAAAATGTTTAACAAAATTTGCAAATATTAATTTCTCTTTTATAATATATTTTAAAAAATTAGTAAATGAAGATTTTAAAAATATTGAACAGTATAAATAGAAAATATATTTGTTTATATTGTGTAAAAGAGACTTTAAATAAAGATATTAAAGTTAACATGAGTCGGATTGTAGATATGTGTCCGAAAATAAGATTTGAAGCGGAAGATGTGTTGTAGTTGCAGAAATAACTCCATCAAAAGAAGTCTGAATGTTTGTATACAACGACTCCAATCTTCCATAGACGTCGTCGAAGATCAGCAGTCAATGACTGTCCTCGATTCCCCTAAATCGATCGCAATCTACAACGCATGAAAGCAACCAAAAAATCATGGAGATCTACGATACCGTGTAATCGTCCGAATTTGGTCTCCGTCAGGATTGAAAAATACGATTCGAAGGTAGACTCTCCTTCTTGCTATTCCACAATCAATTATTTCCCTGATGAGCATCATGACCTCATCATCCTCATTTCCAACCTAGGGTTTATTCGATTTAAATCTACTGTTTCCCCAATTTCAACCAATCGTGGGTTCGGATGATATCAGGGGTTAAAAACCCTAGATCTCCATGGAATCAATGAAGGTAAAATTGTGTGATACACGATAATCGTGATGATTATAAATTGCTTATTGATCTTATGTATCTATTCAAGATTATTTTTTTACAATTAGAAAAACATCTATTCCAGCATATTGATTATTGTTGTAAATTTCAACCATAAATTCATAGAGAAAACAAAGTGATCTAAACTGATAATACTAACCTGACATATGGATATGGAAATCTTGCAGGTAGAACTGGAATGAGGATTACAACTTTAATGAAGCAGTTTGATGTAAGCTTAATGAAAAAAAATCGCAGAAACAATTGAACATTAAGAAGACGAATGAGGTGTTTCAAAATTTTGGATTTCACGTTTTGAGGTAAAGTTATATGCTTGAATATTGGAAAAGATTACGATTATATGATTTATTGTTGTTGGATCTTTATTAGATATAATTTTCTTCCTGATTTTTTGGAATTTAAAAGATTACAACTAAAAATTAGTTTAATATTCAAATTTCATCTAAAAAGGGAGTATAGAATATTAGGAAATAGTTGGTTGAATATAGGTTATTTACAGAAGATAAGTAAATATGCTGCAACCATTACAAAAATGTATGAATTAATTTTAGAGAATGAAAGATATAAATTTTGTTTTACAATTGGTTATTGATTATTTATTAAAAATAACATATTTATCGTGACAAAAATAATAGTTATTCTAAATAATAGACATAAATGTTCCATGTTTAAAATAATCAACATAAATATCCTAAATAATAAACAATAAGAACACAACACATAGAAGTTGCTTTCTATTAAATGTAATTTTTTAAATCTTGTATCTAGATTACATAAATGGTAACTACATTTTAAAACTTAACTTACATCTTCCACTTTTAAATATAGCAAAACATGAAGAGGTTAAAAAAGAACAGGGTGTCATTTTATGGGTTACTGTTTATAAAGAAGACATCGATTACAACAACTTTGTATAAATATAATATAAAAATTAGTTAGACCAGTTTTCCAATAATCAAATTGTGCATTATCTTATTTTCAAATTTCTTAATTAACAAAAAATTTAGATTATGTACCGGATAAACATCAGCATTCCTACATCTAAAAACTCACGTCAATCCTAAATAGGCTTACATCACCTACAACGATTGGACATACCAATCGATTGCAGCCGATTACACACACCAAGAACCCTTCGCCCTTTCGCATCGCATTTAATACCCCTCTACACCTGTTTACAGCTTCGACCTTCTTATAAATCACAAACACATAACATCTACAACCCACATCCAATCAAACTACCCATCGGAAAACCAAAAGCCAAAACCACTCCCACAAAATGAAACCGGCTGAAATGGAAAGCATCATTCATATGCTGATTGGCCAGGCGGAGGAAGAGCTGGACGCTTTGACAAAACTCGAAAACGATTACTACTTCAACCAAGAGATGAAGAACGAAGTGCTGGAGAACATGAGTTGTCGACCAAAGTACACCAACTACCTAGATATGAAGGAAGTCATCAACAAAAGTACGTACGTGGCATCAAAAAGAATCATGGCGATTTACAGTCTAAAGAAGGAAACTGAAACGACCATCCAGGAGCTCAGGAAACTACTCAAAACACTTCCAGAAGATGATCAGCCATATATGGAGTGATACAAAACAAAAAAATCTCCAACTCTTTTGTCATCTTATTATCCATGGTCTCTTTAAATCGTTTTCTCTTTTGATACTATGCTTATGAACAGATGCATGGTTAAGCCTTGTATTCACCTTTAAAAAATATAATCTATCGTTTAGGTCTATTTTGTCATTCCATATATAAAACGTAATGCAAACACAGAATAAACCACATGTCAAGCACGTTTATGAAGTTTTATTCTCCTGGAAATTGTCTATTCTGTGTCAGGTACTAAACCGTACCTTTTGCTTTTCAACATAAAGTGATAATTTTGTCACATTAGCAACTCTCTTCAACATAAATATAGATAAGAAAAACCAATTATGTATGTATTCACATTTGCATCTGTTTTATCTCCTCAACATAGAGAAAACAACAAACCAAAAAGGTTTCATCCGACCTCCGCATCGCGGGGGCTCCCCCTCTAGTTTATGATATTTAGAGGTTACATAGAAACCAATGAAAGTACATTGTCATTAAAGGAATGTTCCATTAATATTAAACCAAAAAACATTTTAAAGTACAATGGTATAACCATAAGATTTAAATGGTAACAAATGAAAAAAAAGTAGGATTCATCAATATGATGAAAAAAATTATTAAGTAAACAGCCGTTAAAGGGAATGTTCCATTCTAAAAAATTACATAATAATGATTTTTACTGGTTAAAGGGAAACCAATGAAAGTAAAATGTTGTAGTATTGACTATTGAGTAGTTATTTTTTAGTTTAAGAAGAATACCAACAAAGTTTTCATTTTTTTAATACAAATTAGATAAAGTACAAATTAAGCACCCTCAATCACAATATAATTTCACCTGTAAAAGTATCAAAGTATCAAGCTCAAGATAGCTTTAACATTTGAACAATAATAACCACATATGCAATATCGGCCAAAAATTTAAAATATTAAGAAAAATTTAAAAAAATTTTACAAGCAAATATAATTAAAAGTTTATAAAATAAAATGAAAAACCTTTTGAACAGATTCGTGAAGAAAAATGCGAAGTCAAGAAGGACTGTGAAATGTGATTTGTTCAATATTGGAGTCAAATGCAGTTCACGTATAAAAGCAAAAATGTTCGCATTTGGTAATACAAATCAAAATTGGGTTTTGCATATGAGGTTGTATGGATTGGGGTTAAAGATGCGAAGGTGATTATGGTTAATATTAATTTCGCATTTGGTGAGACAAACAACTCAAATGCGAATGAACTAAAAAAAAAATGACTGGAACATGCGAAGAAAGAGGGTGAATGAAGAATGCGAATTTTACAGTAGAATGCGAATTGGGGAAGAAAGCTAAGAATTTCGCATTTTTATTACAAATTGATTGATTGATTGATTTGTCTTAATTGTTAATTGCGATATATGAAATACTTATCAAGTTAGGGGCAATATATTTTATTTGAGTTATAACCAAAATCAACTAACTTGTCCAATTTAAAACAATAAAAGTATCCAAAAATATTCAAAACCAATAATATTTGACATCCTAAATACCCCAAAATAAAAATCATACCAAGCAATTAAAATATCTTTATAACCAAAACAAATGATCAAAATATATTAAATGTGTCTTATAACCGATAGAAACTCACTTTTCAATTTTTGGAATCAAGAGTGGAGTTTCCTCTGCGGTTGACTTTCTTTTAGCCTTAGTTGAACTTAAATCATATCCAGAATCAACATCATAAATTTCTTGGAGGTTGCGCTTCAAATCACCTGATATTTTGCAAGGACTTGTTGCGGTTGACTTATCAACTGTTGAGGGTGTAAAACTTTCGTCTGTTTGTGAGATCACATCCTAATTTAAAAAAAAATGTTTGATTCCTAAAAAAAATAACTAAATAATTAAAAGTTTATAAAATAAAATGAAAAACCTTTTGAACAGGCTGTACAACATCATCGGATTCCAAAGCAACTTGATTTAAGGAGACAGATTGAATACTCTAAAAAATAAAATGGAAATATGTTAATCGTTATGTACTTTAACATTAAAGAATTGTAAATTTTCAACAATAAAAAATTACATACCATAAGTTCTATTTTACTTTCCAATTCACAAACAATGGACATATCTTCTGTAACTCTGAGAACTGTGTAGATGTTATTATAGTTGTTGACATTGTATTCTGTAATATCTACAACAAAACCAAACTTGCGGTTTTTCAACACGTTAAGTTGCATTGGAAATAGGGCATCACTGTCTCCGGCCTGTAAGATATATTTTAATAAATTAAAAAAATTAAGTAAATGTTTTCTGATTTTAAAGTATGAATAATATACCGCATCATGTATCTTTTTCAACTCGTAGGCACTTATATTTAACAACCTCCTTGCTTCCCTATCAAAAAGAGTCAATCCAATGGTTCCAGTACAATCTTGTACGTTAATTGGAATTATATACCTAAAACAAAAAATAATTATGTCATTGTTAGTGTTGTTTTAAGATTGACAAAATTAATAGAAATAAATATGTCTATACTTTATAACTGACTGAAATTCAGATTTTTTGCATTGTGCATTTGTACACTCGACAACCATAGTTTTGAAATTTCCTCAGGGTTGGTATACGAATGATTGGTTTTGGGAACAGGGATAATTTTTTTCCACATTTTTTGCATGCTTCATAATACCATGGTAGATTCTGCCTTATATTAACAATGGAAGCAACTAATAAAAACTTCATTTCCTGTATCATATCAAATGTAAAAATTATTAAAATAAATTATGCAAAAATAAAATGTAAAACATATAAAATAATGCAAATACCTTAATTGGTTCGGTGATCTCACAGATTGTTTTAATGGAAAATTGCCCTTAAAGTCATCTGTATATGAAGAAGAGTAGCTTTGAAGTGTAGTTATGCTTTTTTCAGTTATACCGAAATTGTCATGACATTTCAACCTGTAATGTTTAATTTAGATTCATGAATATTAGGTTTTGTGTTTTTTTAAGTTAAAATACATTATAAAAAATAAAAAACAATTGGAAACTAACTTATTTTTAAACTTATTTATTTCATAAATGTCAGAATTTATGAACAATTTTGTTACTTCAAAATGACTTTTAGCTTCACCAAGACCTGTAAAAAATGTATATCCAATTATTAAAATTTATATAAAAACAGTAATTATAAACATCTATATATAAAGACTGAATACAAACCATTCCAAATGTTTAGCTTCAAAAACTGCATCACGATAACAACAAAATTAACAGTCGGGTTATTTTTTAGGTATTCTGAAATTTGATATGCTTGACTTCCAAAAATAGTAACCTTCAGATGTACAGAACTAAATAAACCATAAAATAGTATATTAATATTAATTTGTGATTAATTAAAGATAATAAATAATAAATAAATAATACAATATAATCTCACTCTAGGTTGCTAAGAGTGACTTTTATATAATGCTTGGATGGTACTGGATTTGAAGTTTCAAGAGGCCTAAATGACACGATATGTACAATAACATCTACACAACAGATACCACAAAAAAATAAAAGTTTAGGATTAAATTCGTAATATTTAAATAATAAAATGTATAACCAAAAAAACAAATGATAAAAAATGATTTTATTAATATTTTATGACTAACCAAAGAATGTGTCTTTTGGGCATGTTTGTTCTATGATAGAATTAGAGTCAATAAACATAAATCCATTGACCGGACCCGAGAAATCATCACATTTTTTTAGGATGCTTTTCCAATCCAAAGTTAAGGTCTGTTTATGACCTGTATAACTAAAACCATTAGTAACAGCAGCCATATTGGGTTTTATAACTATATAACTTTCATCTTCCTTTAAAAGATGACGAAATCTGGAGAAATTCTGATTGAAGACACGAGCTTGGTATTGTGTACCCTGTTTAAAAAAAAAATTAAAAATTATTATGTTCATGAAACATGTCTAATATTGAATGATGAATAAAAAATATATCAAATACAACAAACCTCCTCATCCATGATGATCATTTCAATGGAACAAACTTTATTATTTCTGACAAAGTTCCAAATTTTAAGCACCCGAACCTTGATATGCGATTTTTCATCTATCTGGTCAATGTTATTTAGGTAAACCTTATTTCCTATTTCCATTTTCTGCAATAAATTTAATCATTATAGAATTGTAAGGAAAATTAGCAACCTTTTAAAATGTACAGAACATCCTAACCAATAAGTAAAACAGAAAAATTATAAATCAACACATGATAATAACAACTGACTTAATGTACTCATAAATTTTTAAATTGAATAATTCATTTTATAATAAAATGGAATACAAACAAAAACAAATAATTCATATGAAATAATGTTTTAGATTGAATAAAAGTTTATATAATAAGATGGAACACAAATATATAATAAACATGAAAACGACAATTATACCGAAAATACCCCTGCAACATACTAACACTAACAGATAATATAACAATGAGTAAAACAGAAAAATTAAAAATCAACACATGATAATAACAACTGACTTAATGTACTTATAAATTTTAAAATTCTAAATTTTTTTGAGATTGTATTTAGATAAAAACAAACAAATTTTAAAATTTCATACCATAAAAAAAAGTTACTGTGCACATCTGAAAAAGACTATTTTTAATTTTTTTTTAAAGAAAATGAACTTGTAATGTTCATTAGTTTTTCGTCTTTTAAACTAAAAAGGTAGAAGAAGTAGACGATTAAGAAGAATTACAAAAAAGAAGAAGAATAGAAATCATACAATGAGAACGTGATAGATACAGATAAATAAGAACATGGAGGAAATAGAAATATTGGTAATTCTGATTTTTGAATACACTAACCTGATATTTAATTCTTGAAGCGTTGCAGAATAACAAAGAATGAAGAAGAATACGTTTGTTGTGGTTTCTATGGAGCAGAATGGTAAAAACAAAATAACCGTATAAATGATATTTACGTTTGTTGAAAAATACTGCAGATTTTTAGGGATTTAATGATTGCAATATATTGAATTTGCAATCAAAATAAACAATCTTTCAAATTTAATCGTGATTTTCGAATCTGATTATTCATTAACATATTTTTTCAAATTATTTCCATAATCTTTATTCATTTAAAACTAATGCATGAATATTTTGAATGCAGTTGACAGTTAAAATTTCCTGATATATTGCATCAGTTTGAACTTTTATTCAATTTTCGGATTCAATGGCATTTACGTAAATATAGAAGAAAAAATGAGCGGGAAAACTCTATTTTGGGGGGCTGGGAGAATGCCACGTGGCCGAGTTCTACTTATTTATTAGAATTAGGATTTGTTTGCTGGATAGATTAGTCAGCATTTTGATGGCGTTGCTTTTTCGTGGCAGTAGCTTCAACCCACATGTCTCTTTTTTTCCTTTTTAGTTTTGCATTCGGTTATTTGTTGATTTTTATTTTCACTTCCTCTTTCCTTCATCATCCCCTTCTGTTTCTCTGCATTCCTCCCTCTTTATTTCCTAGGTAATTTTACTATTTTATTGTTCTTTTCTTTCATCTACTGTCGATTTTTTTTTGTTGCTTTTGTGTTTATTATGTGATGGATGTTCGGCGGAAAAGGGGGGCTGACCCCGGTGCTTCGTCTTCTTCTGTTATCTTTGTTGATCGCCGGCAAAAATGTAGGCGTTTCGATGGTCTCTCTGTTCTTCCGGAGTATGTTGACTGTGGCGACTCTACCTGGGTTTGTGAGTTCTGTAGTGTTTTTTTTGTTTGCATTAAGATAGGCTATGCCAAATGATCTTATCCCAAAAATCAGTATACTTGACAAACTAAATCATAAATTCCAGCCTTTATTACTTATCTATTTATCTTTTAGACATTTAATATATATTAACTTGGTTAAGACAATATCAATATCAATTATAATAAATGAAGATTTATTTTGCCACATGACAATTTCTTATTAGTTTTGACATTTATCATTTTATGATATTTTTAAAATAAATAATATCCACATATCAATTTCTAATTTTTCCAATTTTTAAAATTAAAAAGCCACATAATACTTATATATATATATATATATATATATATATATATATATATATATATATATATATATATATATATATGTAAAATATTAAATATAATAAATATGATAGTAAATTGTAATTAATAACTTCATTTATTTCTTATTTCGAAATGTTATTTAAAAAATACTTATTATTTACACTTTGATATTTAATATATTTTTAATCAACCCGTATATTACACGGGTATTATACTTAATTTTTATTACTAAAAGAGTTGATTAATAAATATTATTTATTGTTGTTGTAGAATCGATACATCATTACATCAGAGGAGGATTTAGGGGGGTCATCGGTGGCACTGGCAACCTCTCCTCTGATTTTTCCGACAGCAATATATATATTTTTTAATTTTTTAATTTTTTTATTTTATCTATTATTGTACAACCTGTAACTGTACAACTCCAACTATAAAATCTCTTGTGTTCGCCCCTGCATTACAAGTTTTCTTTGTTTTGCGTATAAAGAAGTTAGCCACAAATAAAACTTGATCAAATTAAATTATACTCATTTTCTATCGGCCCACACATAAGATCAGATTTAATTTTATAAAAACATTCAGAGTAATATCACCATAAAGTAGGTAACCGGTTTACCGGTCTGGCCGCCGGTTCAAATTCTCCCAAGTAAACGTGTCCGTATCAGTTTCATTGTAGGTGGTATCCACGACCCACACGACACAGCACCAGCTGGAGACAGACACAGCAGTCTGCATCCAACTTAAACCGGACAATCGGATGGATACGCGCTAACAAAGTAGGATTGGATTTGGGAGTAGTATTTGCCAAATGGCTTCATCTTTCATCAACACAAATACTCACCACTTAATCGTTTTAATTATAGTCGTACTTGGTATCATATATAAATTAATGTAAATATCCAATTATTAGTTGAATATTAAAAAGAATATTAAGTAGACATAAATATATAAAACATGAACAACTTGAAGTGACAATATGGTCTAGTTGGATGAAGCCCAACAACAAAGTAGACAATAACTCGCTATCTTTCGTTTGGTTCTCGGCCGAATATTTATAAACAAAAAAGTGTTTTAAGCTTTAAGATTTTTCTTTTCAAATCTGTATTTTGTTTGGTTCGGTCCGATACAAAAGAAGTGAACCGACATCTTATTAGTAAACTCGAAACACTTTTGTTTTATAGGGTTTACAGTGACATGGCTTTATGATGCAAAACGAAAGCAAAAGCAATGAATTGTTCAAGAGATCCAAAGAGAAATATATCAATTAATTTGAAGATGCCTAAAAAGGATTACAAAATCTCTTAATATAGTAGGAGCTAAATTTGATGGTTATTGTCAAATTTTTGAAAATTAAAATTGACAAACAATTTCCTGTGATTAAGTTCTTAAATAAAGATAGTAAAGAAGATAGTGGGTGACAAGTTGGTTGAAAGAAAGCTAACTTGGATCAAACGAAAGAAGGTTACTATGAGCAAAGAAGATGATTGTTTAGGAATGGAAATCTTTATGCGTTCAACATGGATCTTATTTAAATGGAAGTGATGTTTTCTAAATATCACGGAGATGTTATATTGAGTCATTAAATCCATTTATGGAGAGGATGGTAACTTGCATTGACATATTCCTCTTGGTTATGCTTTTTCACATTGGGTAGGTATTTTATGATCTATGAAGCAACGTAGTGACAATGGTGTTGATCTTGACTTTTTGCTAGAAAATTTTGGGGATAGTAGATCAACTTCTTTTTAGGAGGATAGTTGGGTGGTGGATGTTCTGTAAAAAAAAACTCGATTTTCTAGCGTTTTGTGTCTTGATATGACTAAATTAGCTTTGGTTAGTGATTAGTAAAGGGGGGAAATGACACTGTAGCCCTACAATGAATTTCAAATTTGCTCATTCAGTCTCTTATGTTATTTTCGTGTATTTTAAGGGAACAAAGTAAGTAGTGACCTGTTTTTTCAGGACCTCTATCTTTAGTATCCAGTTTCTTGGCATTTCAAAATCAAAATCAGATAGTAAAAGTCAAAATCATAGTGTAAACTGGAAAAACATCGTTGGACTGCATCGAATTGGGGTGTATTGACTTGGAGTGTATCGACTTCTGCAATCGAATATCTCCGAACGTTCTGTCTATCGACTTCAACTGCAATATCGACTTTGATTGCTTTCTATTTGTACATACTGATCTGCTTTGTTGTTCTGTAACTATAATATGACAACTTTAATGGAGATGGATATGAACCTCAATGAAAAAGGCGATGTGAAGCAAAATGTTAATGATGGTGGAGGGAGGAGGAAGACATAAGGTTTTGATTTTGCCAAAAACCAAAATACAATTATTCGATTAATCCATAGCAAGTTCAGTTCTAACATACATCAAACTACAACTTGTAAACAATTATGCCAAAAAAACAAAACCCAATTAAGCAATAAGTAAATCTACAACTTTTGATTTTGGCTTACCATCTCCTTCAAGTAAATCTTCAATCTCAGATTCTGGATTACCACTTTCAAGAAGCTTTGATTTTGGACTTCAACAACATGCTTATGATTTTCAACCTCATCGAACCACAAAAGAAACCCACTTATAGGTCTCCGCAGATTTCAATAATCACCAAATACTAAAAAACCCAAATGTTATTGAGGTTAAAATCAAAATGGAGTACCATATTCGTGCAAACATAGTATTCCCTACCAGGATTCTTCTTAGTGGAGTAAGTCCTTATGATTGTCATGTTTCGAAAATCACACATCTATATATTTTCTTGTTTAGATGAGAAAAAGTAAGAAGGAGATGAAGATATTGTGAAGAATGTAACACCCAAAAATTTTCAAACTTTTCAAACATTAAAATGTTATGGTTTAAATAAATCATTACGAGTATCAACCACATTTAACAAAAATTGGTCCCACAAAAACATTTATGATTAAAACATTGAGTGTTACCATTAAACATCATACAAACAAAATCAAACAAATAAGAATTACATCAATATCATTTAAAAAGGAACTTAACAAGCTCCACTCCATTCTCTATCTCTAACTTCTATCTTTCATTTATAATCTTTTCTCTTTAATTGCAACTGGGACACATAGCATTAAAAAGAGACACATTAGACAAAAATGTCTCCTGAGCTACGTAGGTTTGGACCCATAACATTTATCACGTTTTCATTTAAATTATTTCATCTTTTCAAAACATATTTCAAATAGACATTTTCCATAATTTGTTCCATTTTAAAACATTTCATTAGTCATAACACACTTCAAAAGACATTTATTTTTACATTCAGTTCCTTCTTTCATTAAAGGCTAATTCAAGTATTAAAGTGTTTCTATTTTTATACATAGGGTCTACGTCCAATAAAGAAACCACTCACAACTCTAGAACAAGGTGGAAAGAACAACTCAATCCACCAAGGCATCATTTCCATTAAGACATCAATCTCGCGAAGGGGAGGCACCACCCTGATAAATTGTTCTAGTGCCTCTTATGAGGTATCATGGTTCGGGAAGTTTTCATTTCATTACTTTCAAATTGTTTTCATTAATTTCCATTTCTTTTCATTACTTTACATTTATTGTTATTACTTTCCATTGTTTACATATTTCATATGTTAGTATCAAAATACTCATTACAAACACGATATTAAAACACTCTTTCTTCTAAAATGTTCTTTTCTTTCAAAAACATTCTTGCTTTCAAGGCATTCTTTCAAAACGTTCTTTCCAAAAGCATTTAACACTTTCATTTCAAAATATTTCATACATCAAAACATTAGTATTTCATTATCATAAAAATCATTTTTCCATGTACCTCAAAGTGGGAAAATGCGAATGCATACTCACCTTAGTCACACGAAAGTTATCTAGTCCTCTTCTAGTTCCTTTCCCTAAAAAAGCCCTCTTCAAATACTACAT